TAGGCTGTGTATGTGTGTGAGAATGCTTTTAAAAGTGAAATGATTTAGCTACAGTTGGTTGGAGAGCTTGAAAGGAGGGAAGAGAAGTTATCTGAATTAAGTTCACATGAGGACTTTATTTGGCAAAAGCATTTAAGAGAAAATAATATAGGGGAAAAGGTTCCTTTGCATTTTAAGTCTCAATCACTTACTGTAGGATCCGAAGCATGAAGTGTGTATATATGTGTAAGGGAACCAGGACAGGTACAGGGGGTCTTTCTCAAGTGTTTCCCAGATGACTGGGAAAACATCCTCTCATAACATTTTGCGCAGAGTGGAATGGCAGCAGGAAACGTTAGTCACTTAGTACCTGAAGCAGCTCAGAAGATTGGACTGCAAGCTATGAATATGACTTGAAAGGCAGCCCCACTCTGCCTTTTCAGAAAAGCATGGAATTTAAGTGTGTGTGTTTATGTGCATACACAGCATAGTAGAGTAATATTCTGCATTGCACAGACTCATCCCAACAGCCTCGATAGCTACACTGCCAAGGCAGGTCATGGCCACATCCATGTAACCTAATCAGCCAGTTTCATCTCTGCCAGGAGCAGGCCATTTGTAAGGCTAAAGGCTCTTAACTGCCCATTTAAGACCAAAACCACCTTCCTGGCCAATACTTTGGATTAAAATAGAATAGCTGGGAATACTACATTGTTGTTGGAGAAAGCTTCTGTTCCTCCTGTACATTGCAGAATCTCAGCTGAGCTCACATGGGAAAGGAAAACAGAAAAGGGAGTTGGCTAGCAGATGATACAATTGTCTCCATTCAACAAAAGGTCCCAGTTATTTCATTTTGTGAGTCTTGGTTCTGTGCCATCTCTGGCATTTGCACTTTCCTTATTATGCTTTCAGATGGCCATGGAAGACTATATTCTTCAGGAGGTTTTTTTATGTTTTCTGTTTTAGTTATGGCAAATGATCTGCTTTCTGTTTTTATCTTCTTGTTATGATGCATTCCTTTCATAGTAGTTTTATTACCATTTTCATCTGAGTTTTGTATAGCGTGTGGAGGACTGTTTCATTACAAAAAATCCAAATGAGTAATAATTGAAGGGGCAGTGATGAACAAAATTGGAAGGTGTGTAATTTCACACACCCACTTTTGGTCCCCAAATACTGCCCAATTCATGTGAAAAAAAATTGATTTCCACCTCTTTCTGAAAAGCATTTGGCTCAGCACAACTTTATAACATATTGCAAGGTGGTCTTTAGGGCTTAGAAAAGTTACTTTTTTGGAGTGCAATTCCCAGAATCCTCCAGCCACTGGTACAAAAATAAACATTCCCAAGTTTTGGGTCCCTCTGACTGTGATAGCAGCTGGTGGACCTAGCACAGAAGCCATTGTGCCTCTGCTTGCTGACGATCTATAGCGGGAAGCAAGAACCCCAGTTTTAGATTCATGGACTGTGAGGAACTAGAGGTGATGGAAAGGTAACTGGGATGCATCCTACATCTCCTTCTGTTACACAGCTTTTCTATAAAATATGTAGAAATGTTAATTTATTTAACCATCAAGAGATTTGGTGCTCACACAAAAAGGGATTTCATTGAATCAGAGGCTTCTTCTTGCATGGTGTCCTGTCTTTATTTTTGGCTCCACATAGTCAGGCATGTCTTCAGATCCAGTTCACTCAGAAAATGCATGCCAAACAGCATCCATTTTGTTTGGGTTGAAGCTTTCCGCCCTCTCTGCTCTTGCAGAGAGCTGGGGAGGCAGGTCAGGCAGAGTGCTAACTATTTGCCCCAGGAAATAATCCTGTCTGAACATAATTTTTAGAGGGGAAAATCACTCCTGTTAACAAGCAAACTCAAGTAACATGTGCCAACAGTAAAGGAGCCAAAATGGAAGAATCAGCAGGAAGTTCCAGCATGCTTAGAGGGAATTGTGAGGTTTGTGGAAATACAAACATTTAAACACACACGCCCCTGTAAGGGGGCAAACAACTACTGCAGAAAAAGAGCCCAGTCAGATCCGAGCATGCTCAGCTCCCATGGAGCAGCGAGTAGCGGCAGGAAAAGAAAACAAGGAAAGGGGAGATCCAGAGTTGAATGTCTTCCTTCAGCTAGGCTAAATCATTGTAGGCCCAGTGAAATCAATATTATATGTTATAGCAGTGACCAACAAATTCCATTAATTTCAGTGAATCTACTTTAGCTGGAACAATAACATTGGATTTAGCCCATGGGTTTAGATCTGTACCAGCAGACCACTTGATGAGGGAGAGTATGCAAAAGAAGTACTCTTCCATTATGTCTTTCTTTAGGCCTGAGCTTTATGCAGTTGTCAGATTTGAGCCTGGAACCAGGAGCAGCATGATGGAGTAGTGGAGATGGTCTAAGCTCAGAGGTGAAAGCTGAAGGCAATACCGTCGAGTGCATGGCACTGACCTGTCTGTCCCTCATGAAAACTCCCAGATTGAACAGGAAGCCTTTTATGGTTCTTTCTGTTTTAGGGTCCAAAGGCCATCCTGATTGGCAAGACCAGTGAGAGTCCAGAAAATGTTCCTGGATACATTTTGGTGATTCAAGCCAACCATCCCCTGTTACTTCTCAAAAGTCTGCTCTTTTCGACTGCCTCATGCATGCTGAATATGGCAGCACAGTTGGGGTGGTTCCCCAGTTTGGGGGTTCTGCAAACCTAGAAATATCCAACTTCCATGTTCTCTGGAGCCTGGCTTGCCTGCTCCCAAGGCTCAGATTGGACCCTCCCAACGTTTGCAGGAAATGTACAAGGGGAAGGGGGGAAGCAGGAAGGAGAGAGAGAAAAGCAGAGGCCAATATCATAATAGGGTGTCGGCCTGTAATTCAACATGGCTCCAGTTTTGCCTTGCTGGCCGGGGACAACATGTAGTGTTTGACGGCGAGCTGCCCTATAAACTTTTACTGTCTTGCCTGAAAGGAGAAACAGCTGCTGGAGTCGAAAGCAGCTGCGGTCAGCAATAAAGCTGAGTTGGCCCAAAGTCAGCTCCATTCTCACCAGTAGGTGGTATTGTGGTCAACAGTAATTACTACGGAGAATTCCATGAGAGTGGAGGGTAACGGGAGAGGCACAAAGAACGTAGTGTGTTGTGTGTTTTTCCTTTATTTCCAGAAAGTAAGAAAAGTGGTGGTGTGGGGAGTAAACTGTGCCACAAATTTGGATCACCCAAACAAACAGCACCAACACCACTGGAATCCTTTGCACTGTTCATGTCTTGCCCTGGAAACCATTAGATGTTCTTTCTATAACTCGATGTGTCACAGGCAGAGTATTTTGTCCAGGGTGTTAATTTGGATGGACACTTGCCAAAGGCGAAAGATTGCCCAAGATGAAGTCTGGGTGTGCAGGCATGTTCAAAATTATAGGTGGCACCGCTAGAACCAGACTTTCCCTAGTTTGGTGCCCTCCAAATGGGCTGGACTTTGACTCCCATCATCCTCAGCCAGCATGACCTCTTTGGCCTTGATCTCCCCCTTTACCCCAGCAATTATCCACAGGGTGGAGAATTTATGGTTCCCAAACATGGAACCTCCTATCTGTGATATGTCTCACCTCTCCGCTCTGTTGTGGCATCTGTAGACAAAGCTCTTGGGTACACTGTAGCCTGAATGAAAAGAGGAAATCCTTGTGTCTGCAAACGGGCCCCTCAGCTTCCCAGTCATTGGGATCTTGGGACCATGATGTTTGCCAGGCAGACTGAATGTATATTTTAAGACGCAAGCCACCTGAATGGTGAAAGTCCAGGCACCAACCCACCCATGTTCCAAGCAGCAAGCCCCTCAGCACATCAGGGGGAAATATGCAGGTATGTCTCATACTTAAACTGCCTGGGAAAGAACCTTTTGAACTTTGGGAAAATGAAAGAAGCTGAGTCTAGTTTCTGTCTGGTCCTAATACCGCTCCCATACCCCCATCAGCAATAAGAAAGAAACAGATTAATTAAAGGCTGATGGGCATGTATATAAATCAAATCAAATCAAATCAATTAATAATGATGATGATGATGATGATGATGATGATGATGATGATGATGATGATGATGATGATGATGATAATA